GGCTATCAATTTGTCGACGAATGCTGCGACTGAAATGCGGCCATCTCCGCGTGAATGCTGCGGTCCACTGCCGATGCCGAAGATGATCTTCCAGCGCCACCAGCGCCCCAAATCTGGGAAATGTGGCCTTTCGCAACCACCGCTTCGCCGCGCTCGACCGCGCTCGCGCCCGTGAACTCAGCAACGCATCGACGAGACAAATAAGCCTATTGCTCCCGTCAGGCTTCGCCAGTCGGACAAGAACGTCGACGATGCGCTCCTCGGGCCACCGTCCAATCTTCGCGCCGAACGCACGAGAGGCTAAAAGGTGCACCAAGCCCCTTGTCCGAGAGATGCCACAGAGCGCGAGGTGCAATGCCCGTCTGGACGACAGCGGTGCGCGCTGGAAAAGCGCGCGCTGCTGCTCGAAGATGGTCGACCGTGATCTCAGGGGGCCCTGCCCACGACGCAGCATCCGCTGGGGGGGCAGGCGCGAGAGAGCCATGAAATTGCCGCGCCGTCTTCCAAGAAACCAATTCACGATCTGCGAAAGCATGCGGACTTCCATAAACCATGGGGCGCAACTTCTCGGGGGCCTGCTGCGCCCTGGCGAACCGATGCGCCACGCCGGCTCCGCGAGGACCAATTTTTCCATGCTTTATGCTTGTCCGCGATGGCGCCTTTGGTTTTGATTGCTCCTGTGAAAATCATTTAGTAAAAATCCTAATGCCTTCGAGGAAGGACGCCAGAACCTCGCCAGGAAGCCCGTCGAGGATTCTCCGACAGCTCGCAACATTGTCCAACGAGAGCGCGGCCTCACGAATGGTCTTAATTAACCACGTGAGAACATTGCTGTAACGAGACGGGGCACGTGACACGATCACATTGAAGCCGCCGACATTCTTCCCGAACGTGCCCACGAACCCGTCGAAGGTGAGAAGCCAATCTCGCTGCCACCTGCCAGCCATTGACCTCGTGCGAAATGTAGGTGCGCTTACGTGGGGGCTGCCGAGAAACCTCCACCACTTTCCAATGCACATCACCAGCACGACCGAGATGCTTCGTGTGATTGGAATCCCGCAACTGCCACTTGTCAGCCAGAGTTCTTTCAATCTGCTGTAGCACGGCGTCCCAAGCTTGGCGCAGACTGTCATCATCATGCGCATATTGAACAATAAAGAGAGCTTGCCTCCAATCCTACCTTTGGGGGAAATGTAAACACCCCACAAGAGATGAAGCCGCAAACCCCAATGGTTCCGGCAATGCTCTCCTCCACGTCGGTATAGCATTGACCAACAACGAGTAATGAGCTGGAGAATGCGTATAAATAACTGGCCCATGATCAACCCCAGGACTCTTGAAGCGCGTGTTGGGATTTTTGGCCACCATTGCATGATCATACACGGTTGCAGTAGCACTCTTATGACACGTCGCTGAATATGGGTCGAGCAGAAAACCTCGCACTTGTTCAAGCCATTCGTCAACCCATACATGTGGTTGGAGATTCCACTCGCCGAGCACAATCTTCGTCGTCCTCCTCCTGTTCCTCATCCTGCTCCTCCTCCTCCTCCTCCTCCTGTTCCTCCTCTTCCTCCTCCTCCCCCTCCCCCGCCACCCATTCCTCCTCGCTCACCTCCTCGACTTCCTTTTCCCCCTTTTCCTCCTTCTCTTCCTCCTCCTCCTCCGCAGGAGCACTCCGACCTGCTGGTGGGCGACGGCCGTGAGAGACGGTCGCGGGGGCTTTCGGCCCCGACGCGGGCCGGCCGCCTCGCGAAACGCGCGTGCGCCTCGATGGCGGGGACTCTGCGCCGGCACCGTGGCGGGCGAGGAGCGCGGCGATGCAGGCCTTTGCTTAGGCTGGGCATGTCCTCCTACAGGCGGATTTTGGAAAAGCGAAAAAGAGTCAGCAAAAATATGCAAACGTAATCAAACATACCAGGGACGTCGTCCCAAGACTATTTTTGACTATTTCTGAAGGGTCCTCCCGTAGAGGGACGAGCCCGACTCAAGCCTATGCGTGGCCCGCACACGGCGAGGCAGCTCAGCAGCCGCGGCGCGAGGGAGGTGGCGCGGGCGGCGGCGGCGGAGGCCATCGCCAAGGCCAGCGAGGGCGACCACGGCGCGAAGCTCCCGGTGCGCTGCCCGGGGGTTCAAGAGCGGCGACGCCGTGGTCGCCGAGGTGGGCCTCCTGCTCGCCACCTCCTCCTCCTGCTCCTCCTCCTCCTGTTCCTGCTCCTCCTCTTCCTCCTCCTCCTCCTCCTCCTCCTCCTCCTCCTCCTCCTCATCCTCCTCCTCCTCCAACTCCTCCCTCCCCATTTCGCTTCCTTATACAGAACTTTTCCCAGTCGCACCCCGAAGCCAGTTTTAAGGGCGGGGCCAGGCGTTTCGCCTGAAATGCTCCCACCACTTATGATTCTGAAGCTTGAAAAATGGCATCAGTTAAACAGATGGAGGGCGAGTCGTTTTCAAACTTTGGCTCTCGCCTTAGCGCCGCGCGCATTACATAAATGCAATGGTTTCAAAGATTGCGGGCATTTTTTTCAAAATGTAGCTCTCGCCCAGCTTTGCGCACTTTCGTTTTTAATCCGCCGAACCTGTCGGCCTGTCGGCGTGTGTGAGTGGCTTGTCCGTTCAAGGCGTCATCTCCGTCATTCGTTGGTCTCCGTCTCTGTCGTCCCCTTTCCCTGCCTCCCCCCTTTCCCTGGGCTCGTCAAAGCCCCTACCCTTTCCCAGGGACCTCTTCAACGCGCCAGCCAAAGCAAAGTTGAGCAACGTCGTAATTGAGTCGAAGGGAAGCCCCTTCCCTTCGATCCCTCCCCCGCCAGGGGGGGTGGCGGGGTCTCGGGGGGGGGTCAAATACGACGCCCCTCCTGGGAGTCCCGGAGCTCCAAAAAAGCCCCAAGACGGACCTAGATTGCCCCAAGAGGCCCCGAAGACAGTCCACGAGAACCCCGAATCGCCGAACGATCTGCCCAAGACGCCTTGACGGCCTCCAGACGGCCCAAGAGGCCTGCAAAGCGGCCCAAGAGGCCTCCAGGAGCATTCCCACGAGAGCCCCGAGAGGCAACATTCATGCATTTTCTATACGTTTTTGATAGATTTGGGCGTCCTTGCCTCTTCCGCTTCCCGACGCGCCGAGACGGCCCAAGAGGCACCAAAAATCGCTCCGAGACGGCCCGAGAGGCCCCCACGAGGGTCCCCTAACGGCCGAAGAGGGCCCCAAGATGGCCCAAGACGCCTCCAAGACGGCCCAAGAGGCCCCCAAGACGGCTCCAGGAGAGTGCCCAGACGGGGGACCCGAACGGACATTTCGAGCTCTCAGCCCCAAGAGGCTCCCTAGAGGCCCCGAAGAAGCCCCAAGAGGCCCCAAGAGGCTCCCAAGGGGCCCCCAAACTGCTCCAAGACAGCCCAGGAGAGCCCCAAATTGCCCAGGAGGCCTCCAAGAGTGCCTCGGGACGGCGCAAGAGGAGCCCTGGACGGCCCAAGACGGCCTCAAGAGAGCCCCAGGCTGTCCCAAGAAAGCCTCTGGCCTCCTCCTCCTTTTCCTCCTCCTCCTCCTCCTCCTCCTCCCTCCCCTGCTTCCCCTCCTCCTGCCCTCCTCTGCCTCTTTCTCCTCCTCTTGCTTCTCCTCCAAATCGTTATCCCCCCTCCTCCTCTCTCATCCACCTCCCCCGCCCTTCCTCCGCCTCCCACTCATCCTCCTCCCCCATGCCCCCCCCCTCGTTTTCATCTTCGTCGTTCTCAGGGTCGGCGGCACCGGCCGCAAGGCCTTCGCAACACTTGCAAGAACTTCACGGATTGAGGACGTTTTCTTTTTGAAAATGTGGATCTCGCCTTAGCGACGCGCACATCCGTCTTTAATAGTTGCAAGAGTTTCGCGGGTTGAGGGCGGTTTCTGTTCAACATGTGGCTCTCGTCTGAGCGCCGCGCACATTCGTTACACAATCGCAGGTGTCAGGGATTCCCTTGATCAGCGTATCAGAAATAATGTTTTGGAAAGATTCAGGCTTATTGGGGGATTCCCAAGGTATGTTGGCTCCGGTGTGCAAGTCCCAGGAATGGCGTTCTGGCACGATTCATGATCGTCTAGCGGCAACAGTCAGGTTGATCCGTGGCGCTGGAATCTCGAAAACAATGTTTTGGTAGGCTTCAGGGTCTTCAAAGAGTTGTCTTCCAAAGAGGCAGCTCCCTTCGTAAACATGAAACGTTGTATGGGGCACATGGAAAGGGAGCTTGGAGGGAGGGTTTATTTCAACATTATTGATGCTTCTTGTGTTTACACTGGTCCTCCTCCTCCTCCTCCTCCTCATGCTCGCCACCTCTCCAGCGCATCTGGCTGCGCACCAGCGCGTCTCTGGGCGACGGGCTGGAGAGAGGGGAGGGACGGGAATCGGAGCGGGAGAGGGCAGGCGGGCGAAGCGAGAGATCAGGCACGGGGGGGGGAAGGGGGAGAAGGGCAAGCTAGGTGCGCTCGCGTCATATCTGACGTCCTAAACCTCCCTCCCATCCCTCACCATGGCGTAGATCTCCCCTCTATTCGCACAGTCGGATGTCGTAGCAGAGCATATCTGGCGTAGCATTACATGGCATAGCATGGTGTTGAAGATCAATGCGTATCCTGACTTAGCATGGCGTGGCGACGCCCCAAAGTGGGGGGGGGTTCTGCGGTCCAAAAGATCAACGAATCGGCACCGAATGTGTAATCACTTGATGGTTGTTTCGGGGGGGGGCCTTTTCTGGATTTGGGAGACTATGCGAAAGGACCGAACACCATGCCGTGGCATGGCGCTGGAAATAATGACACCAGCGCTGCAGCGGGAGCACAATTCGGAACGAGCGGTAGCCCCAGCGCTTCAGCAACGTCACCAGGGGAGAGAGGAGAATAGTATTCATATTGTGTAATTGTCGAGGAGGGAAGGGCACGGGGGGGTGGGGGGGAGGTGGATGGGGACGTGGGGGAGGGTTAGGGGAGGCGGGAGGTTCCATTGGGAAGGGGCCGCGGGGGGAAGCGGGAGGACACGCGCTCCTGGCACCCCCGACGCGCCCATCACCCCTGAGGCTCTCGACGCCCCCCCCCCCCTGACGCCGCGCGGACCGCCGGGAGCTCGGGCACCTTCTTCGGGAACTCTCTCCGCCTGCCCTGCAGCGCGCCCGGCTCCAGTGCTCGGCGGCGAGCGAGGGGTAGAAATGAGAAGGAGAAGGACTTCTCAGAGGGCGGCGGGACTTCTCAGAAGCCCTCGCGCTATCCGAGAGGCTCTTTTCTGTCTTCGGGGAAGGCTTGGGAAACCTCTCAGAAGGCCGGGGGACTTCCGAGCTTTGCGAGAAGGTCCGCCTGCACGGTTTCCCCCGGGGCCGTAGGCGACCCGAGGAGGAGGAGGAGAAGGAGGAGGGAGGAGGAGGAGGAGGAGGAGGAGGAGGAGGAGGAGGAGGAGGAGGGGGAGGAGGAGGAGGAGGAGGAGGAGGAGAAGGAGGAGGAGGAGGAGAATGAGGAGGAGGAGGACGGGTCGCCTAAGCTCTTCGGAGAAGCCCTCCACGTCTTCCCCCCCCCCTAACGCTCGCCGCCGAAATGCCTCATTTCCGCCCCGCGCCAGGGGCTCAGTCCTCCTCGACGATCTCCCAAGGCTTCTTCTTCTCGTAGCCGATCTCCTTGGGGAGGCCCAAAGGTACCGACACCGCTACAGCCATGGGCCTGACCTAAGGAACGATACATAAGGAGCGAAGCCCCATTTTTTCAAGGAGTAGCGCATAAGGAACGATATGTAATGAATAGCGCATATGGAGCGATAAAGAACGCATGCAAACCTGAAGGACGACAGAACCCCTTTTGAAGAGTAAATGTTCCATATTCAAGCCGCTCACTGTACCGCTACACCCCGGACCTCTCCTGGGGTGCGTTCTAACTTAAATTTCGAGGCGAATCCAGCGGTGGCGACGAGGGCCTCCCGGGAAGCCCCAAAAAGAGGAAGACGAGGAAAGGGTAGAGGTATGGGTACCTCTTCCTCCTCTGACTCCTGGTACATGCGCGTCATGTTGTCGTGGGTGCAAGATGTGTAGAGCGGGTCCTCGCAGAGGTAGCGGTTGATGCTGAAACACCACATCCATGGGCGGCGGTGGATCTGCGACCGGTTCGGGCGGTAGCCGAGCGGATGGAAGTCGCCCCAATCGGGCTCGTTGTCGATCATGCACCTCTGGGCACGGCAAGAAAAAAACGGCGGCGAGCGAGGGGGGAGTCAGAAGGAGAAGGCCTTCTCAGAAGGCGGCGGGACTTCTGAGAGACACTCGCGCCTTCTGAAAGGTTTTCTGCGTCCTCGGGGAAGGCTTAGAAAGCCTCTCAGAAGGCCAGGGGCCTTCCGAGCCTTCTGACAAGGCCCGCCCCTTCTCGCTTCCCCCCCCCAACGCTCGCCGCCGAAAAAAGAAACCCTCCCCATCCCACCAAGAACACCCTGACCACGCTGACCGAGCGAAACTTCCCGCGTGGGGATGGGCGCCGTCTCCCTCGGATCCCGCACTATTTATAGAAGGAGAGAGGGAGAGAGAAGGTACGCCGGCGGAGCGAGCTCTGCCCTGCCCAAGCCGGGGCTGGGACGATTCTCGCGGTGCTGCGGCGCCACTTGTACTTGCAAGACATGTTGCGCAGGCGGTGGTTGTAGTACGGGAGGCAGTAGGTCCACTGCCTCGAGGGGCAGCGACAGGGGGGCGGACCGGCAAACGGTGGAAACACACCGAGCTGGAATGGGCGATGCGTCGCCGAGAGACCAGCGATGGGAGCCCGGTTGCGAAACAATGCGAATACGTGCCTGGGCGGGGTGGAATGCCAGGCCCCCATCTGAGCGACGGCCAGAAACGGGTCTTGCACGAGATGGCGTGGCGACCTTGCGCGGCGGCTTGCGCGGGCTGCCAGCGCGGCACGTTACATTAGGAACGAGGGCGCTTACGCGCGAGCTCACGCTGGCAGCTTACGCGCCAATGTCGGTGGGCACATTGCTCTAAGAACGAGGGCGCGCTTACGCGCGAGCTTCCGTGGGCAGCTTACGCGCCAATGTCCGTGAAGACGGCCCCGTTTTCTGTCGTCGCTCATCTATCGGCGATGAAGTGACGATTGGGGGTCATTGTGCTCCCCCTGAACACCCCACCCCTGACGTTGCCCCTGATGCCTGTGGCGGTCGGGCAGGGGCTTGCGCATCTCCTGACTGCGCCCGTAGATGTCCGGGTTGAAAAACCTCTCGACACCCAGCGCCGCGGCACGACTCTTTCGGACACGTCGCCCCCCTCCCCCCTACAGGCGGATTAAAAAGTCAACGCGCATCGTCCCAATATTATGTTTAATCCTATTTTTGAATATTCCCCCTGTAGAGGGGCAGTCCCGACTGAACCTAGGGTCTGCTTTTGTCCGTCCCTTTGGGGCAATGGCAAGCTGTATACAATCCACCGCCCGTGGCTTGGCCAGTGAGCGGTGAATGCGCCCCCGTGGCTTGGCCAGGGAGGCATGTACACCGTTCCTGGGGCCAAGACTGGAAGGAACAAAAAACTGCATACTAGACATAAAAGCTTCCGGGCCCGAAGAGTATACACCACCACCACCACCACGTCGATTTCTACTCCCTCCTCCACCCTCATTTTCCTCTCCTCGTTCCTGGGAGAGGGAAGGGATAAGGGAGGTGGTGGTGGTGGTGATTTATACCTTTGGGCCCCGAAACACTGTTGGCGGTCCGCGCGGAAATCTCAGCTGGACCCCCTCCCTGGCGCGCGGAGCGCGACAGGGAAGGCGCCACATGCGCATCCAGGGTCCCAGTGCAGGTCGCAGAAGCCCGCGTGGATCCCGAAAAGTTTATACCGTAGCACCCCGCAGATGCGGATAAGAGTGAGGGGGCGGTGGGGACGTCGGCAGTTTGCGAGATTGTGAGGCCGGCCGCAGGAGCCAAAAAAAGTACACATTGCACAACGAGTCCGCCGCAGGCGCCAGTTTTTTCATTAAACCAATGTGGGTGGATCGCGGGTGGGTTGCAAATGGTTCGCGGGTGGATCGTTGTTGGGTCGCGGGTGTAGAGGGCAGAAACGTCACCCCGTAATCACCACCCCGACAAGCGAAGCCGTTTCGTAAACGCACGCATGGAATGAATCGAACAGGGCAGGGCTGCGTAGTGAGCGCCCAAGACCGTTTTAAAAAAGTCAATTGACGGGTCCGGGTGGTTTTTCCTCCCTTGAGGGTGGGTCGCGGGGTGGGTCGAGGGTGGGTCGCGGGGTGGGTCGCGGATGGGTTGCGGGGTGGGTCGCGGGTGGGTCACGGGGTGGGTCGCGGGTGGGTCACGGGTGGGACGGCGACAACAAACAACAAAACCGACAATAACAAAAACAACAATAACAATAACAACACTAACAACACTAACAACACCAACAACAACAACAACAACAACAACAACAACAATAACAATAACAAGAACAACAACAACAGCAACAACAACAACAACAACAGCAACAACAGCAGCAGCAACAACAACAACAACAACAAGGACAAGTGCAAGAACAACAGCAACAAACATTATAAGACTGTTCGCTCTTACTTGCCCGTGTCATTCAAAACGAGTTCCCCAGACCCTCGATACCCGCCCTCTTTGTCTTCGATCACACCCCGTTTGGGGGGATGCTTTCTCTTTGCGGGGGGCGGCGGGCTTAGACAGGCGGGCAAACCGGAACGGGCGGACAATCCTTTGTGGGCGTACATGCGCCCGCCATTGGAAGTGGTGTAGGCCCTGCAAAAAGAGGAGGGGGAAAACGAGGGAGAGTGGGAGGAAGGGAGGGAGGGGGACGAAGGAAAAGGGAAAACGCCAGGAGAGAAGGAGCGAAGAGGGGGGCGGTTGATTAGAGGCAATCGGAAATAGGAGAGAGAAAGACAGAGAGAAACAACACATATAAGAGAGGTAGAGAAAGAGAGAGAGAGAGAGAGAGAAGGGCGAGAGAGAGAGAAAGGAAGAGGGAGGGAGGAGGCAGGAGAAGGGAGGAGGGAGAAGGGAGGAGGGAGAGGAGGGAGAGGGGGTAAGGCAGAGAGGCATAAGGATGAGGGAAAAGAGGAGGGAGAGAGAAGGGAGGAGAGGAGGGAGGAGGGAGGAGGGAGAGGGAGGAGGAGCAGGACGGTAAGAGCGTGAACGTTCGAGGAGGTCCTAGGCGAAAGCGCCGTTCCTGAAGGAAGTCTCGGGCGGGAGCCCACGACGGGGGGGCGATCCCCTGACGGGCGGGTCCGGCGGGTGGGACATTCCTGAGTATAGCGAGAGCGCGATTCCTAAGTAAATTGTGACGGCGTCCTTGGTGCAGCGAGTTTCCTGAGCGTCGAAAGAGCGATTCCTGAGTAAATTTTATGGAAGTCACAAGCGAGAGCGCAATTCGTCAATTAAGTGTGCAGGGTTCTCTGGCGGGAGAGGGGGTCTTGATTAAATTATAAGGAAATCTTGACTCAACTGATAGGAAGTCTCAAGCGGGAGCGCAGTTCCTGAGTAAATTGTGAAGATGTCTCAGATGGGAGCGGGGGTCCTGACAAAATTGCGAAGAAGTCCCAGGCGGGAGCACCGATCCTGAGTAAAGTGTGAGAAGTCTCAGGCGGGAGCGAGAGTCCTGAGTAAATTTAGAGGAAGTCTCAAGCGGGAGCCGTTGTTGTTGAAATCCGGGGGGCCAGGGACACAGTTTGAGCAGGAAGATTTTCCCTGTCAAGAAAACAGGGTGCGAGCGTCGAGGGGCGCACTTTGATTGAGAAAAAACAGTATGCACCGGTGAGGGGGGATCAACACACATTATTCTTCAGAAGTGAAAAAGCAACAACGCCAACAGCAACAGCAACAGCAGCAGCAACAGCAGCAATAACAACATCAACATCAACATCAACAACAACAACAACAACAACAACAACAACAACAACAACAACAACAACAATTACAACAACAACAACAACAACAACAACAACCACCACCACCACCACCACCACAACAACAACACCAGCAGCAGCAGCAACAACAACACCAACCCCAACCCCAACCCCAACACCAACGCCAACACCAACACCAACAACAACAACAACAACAACAACAACAACAACAACAACAACAACAACAACAACAACAACAACGCAACAAGCAGAATTCTCACAACGAATTCCCTATTCAGCCACGCACCCAGGGCCAATGAATGACCGTTCGGCCCCCTCACTCTGATTTGTGCCTTCTTGATCTTCGAAGCAAGGGCCTGGCCAGAGGCGGTGAACAATTATATAGAAAGGTCTCGGGACTCTGTTCCTTGGTCGTCGCTGCCAAACGGCCTCGGTTGGGCGTCGCGTAATCATAAGGCCAGGAGAGCCAATAATCGAAACGATAAGTCGGATCGGCGATCGAAAGGAATCGGATCGGCGGAAATCGGGAGCCACGTCGGGAGAAGTCGAATCGGTAGAACTCGGCAGGCTAGTAGGCCTCCATCTAGGAATCGAAATCCAGATCGGATTCCGAAGTCAAATCGAACCGACATCGGAAGAATCGAAACGAGCCCTGCAAGGCTGGGCCGCGTCAGCGGGGAACCCATGCGAAACAGACAAAACATTTTCCCACGCGCTCGAGAAGGGGCTGCAGCCGTGGGCCTCGAACATTCTCCAACCTCCGCTGCGTTCTCCCGCTGCGACAGCGGGGCAGAGCCAGCCGTGGCGCTCCCCTTTTGGGGGGGCGTCGCTTCATGGGGAAGGCGCTGTACAAGGGGGGAGGGGGGGAAGAAAGGTGCACTGTGGCCCCTTTTGGGCCTTCCAGGGCCCCTCTGGGGGCCCTCCAGGGCTTATTTTCTGCAGCCCTCGCTGCCCCCCAATGTTTCGCCGTTCCATTGCGCGACGCCCGATTCCGCGACGCCGGATGCCCGGAAGCACCAGACAGGACCGCGTAAACCGGGACTTATCTCCAAGCCAGAACGTTGGCACGCTCGAGAAGACTGCAACCGTAGGCCGACACATTCTCCATCCTCCGCTTTCTCCCGCTGCGACAGCGTGGAAGAGCTAGCCTGTCGATCTTTTTGTGAGGCGCGAATTACTCGGGGGCGATAAAGAAAGGGGGGAAGAAAGGTGCACTATAGAGGACCGCTTCTGGGCCCCGAACGGCTTCTCCATTAGGGGCCTGGAGGGGCCCTCTTCAGCAGCCCTCGCTGCTCACCCCATTTGTCGCCCCTCCATTACTTAAAAAAAAACGGCATGACCATAATTGTTTGGCGCTCCGCGCGGATTTCTTGGATCAGCGCTGAACTCCCCCTCCCTGGCGCGCGGAGCGCGCCAGGGGCGGCGCCGGAGGCGCCGCCGGGGAGGCCCGGCGCAGATCCAAGAAATCCGCACGGAGCGCCAAAAGTTTATGTTTAATGCGTTTGTTCTTCTTCGAATTGCGGGACCTCCTATTTTTTCAGCGGCGCAGGCTGCCCAGGAGCCACTGGCGCGAGAGGAAGCCGAACATGAGGCCCATGGCCAGCGAGCAGACGAACCAGTAGTTGTACGAGGGGGCGTCGGCCACCCAGGCGTGGAGCCACTTCTCGTACATGAAGTCCGCCACGGCGGGGTCGTTCCACTTCTGGCAAGGACGACGACGACGACGCCAGCGGCTACTGCGAAGGACTCCTCCTCCTCCTCCTCCTCCTCCTCCTCTTCCACCTCCTGACGGCGAGATCGTTCCACTGCAGCGACGGCGGTTGCGGCGACGGAGACGACGACGAGGGCACCGGCGCTGGCGGCTGGGAGGGCGCCGCCGGCCCTAGCCTGGCCAGAATCGGCCCAGGAGTGGGACGAGGAGGAGGACGAGGAGAAGGAGGACGAGGAGAAGGAGGAGTAAACCCAAGAGGCATCAACGATGTTGGAATAGACCGTCCCTCCAAGCTCCCTCTTCATAGGCACCTACAGCGGTCCATTTCCATTGAAGGATCTGCCTCGTTGGAAGACAACCGTTTGAAGACCTTGAATCGTGCCAAAACATTGGTTCTCAGGATTCCAACGCCACAAATCAACCTCACAGTTACGTCTTGAAGATCCCGCACAATCCTGAACCCTTCCAAAACACCATTTCTGGTACGTTGATCGCGAGAATCCGTGAAACTCTTGCACATTTTATGAACGAATGTGCATGGTGCTAAAGCGAGAGCCACATATTGAAAAGGAACCACCCTCAACCGTGAAACTCTTGCACATGTTGAAAACGAGTGCGCGCGGCGCTAAGGCGAGCGCCACATTTTGAAAACCACCCGCCGCCCTTCGGCGAAACTGTTGCCAATTGTTAGGCTTCAGAACCATAAATGGTGAGGAAATCTCAGGCGAAACGCCCAGCCCGCCCTAAAAACTGGCCTCGGGGTGCGACAGGGAGAAGCTATTTATAAGGAAAAGGAAAAATGGGAGGAGGTTGGGAGGAGGAGGAGGCGGAGGAGAAGGAGGAGGGTACGGCCATCGCCATCGCGTCACCATTTAGAAGCACCAAGTCAAGAACGAAAGGGCTTTTCTAGCCACGGCGAGCCTCGGCCACGGACAGGGCCCCCGACCCACATCTGATGGGACGCACAGAGACATACTAATACTAGACGTCCTCCTTGGAGACGAACGTCCGACCCGAGAGCATACCCATCTTGTAGTAGATCGTTTCCCGAGCGGTGTGGCCAGAAAGCGCCCGCCACGACGCATAGACTATGAGATTTCTCGGTGCGCGCGTCGCTCCTGGGGGGGCGACGCACATATAGTAGAAGTATGTTGGGGTGACGCCGGTCTGACGAGAGGCCTAAAAACCAGAGCCCCTTTTGAACCTGAAACGGTCCTTGTTTCAGCGTCTTGTCGGTGCGGTCCCTGGGGATAAGCCAGCGTGGACGCAATGCCCCTCTAAACTGGAGGAGCAGGAGGAGCAGGAGGAGGAGGAAGAGGAGGAGGTGCATGACAAAGAGAAGGAGGAGCAGGAGGAGGGCGAGCATGAGGGTGAAAGGTAAGAATGATGAGAACGAGAAACATAAGTCGGGGGTCTGCTGACCCGGGTCAATCCAGACCCGAGTCAGTCAGGCATTGCAAGATCCTGCAGGATCCTTCACCCAAACCTAGAACAGTGCGCCCCTGGCTCTGCAGGATCCTGGAAGATCCGGCGCCCTGACTGACCCCCGTTTGCATTGACCCCCTTGTGTATTGACCTCCGTCTCTTGAGCAAGAAGGACATCGGTAACTCCACTGCCCGGCGGTCCTCTCACAGGGCGCCATCTGCTCAAGATTTCGAGACGGATCCAGCAGAAGCGCAGGGCCCCCCTGGGAGGCCCGCAGAGGCGAAACACCGAGGGAAATGCAGTAGGAAATCGTTCCCTCCTCTAAGACGAAGCGAGGGCGAGGATAAAATTGTGTGAGGATAGATCGAATCTCTGAGATTTGGCGGCTCTGGAGGATGTCTCGGCCGACGCGGCCTTCTCAGAGCGGTCCGGAATGCCATGAGAGCGTTCCGGAACGCTCTGGAACGGATCTGCCCTCGTCTTAGCCCCGTCCGAGACAGACCAGCCTTCAGGAGGATGGTGTAGCGCATGCGGAACGAGAAGGTCGAGAACGAGCCGGACTCCGAGTAGGCCGACAGCATCTCCGACGAGCGCGCCGGGCGGGCCAGCCGCAGGCCCAGGCGCGCCCGCGACAGGAGCATCGCCATGCTCTGCCAACCGGGGCGCGGAACCGGCGAGCTCGGCGGGCGCGCGCGCGCGCGGCGGGGGGTGCGCCGCCCGAGCCAACGGGTCTGGGGGTCGCCAAATCCCCCCTCTCCTCCTCCTTCTCGTCCTCGTCCTCGTCCTCCTCCTCGTCCCCCTCCTCGTCCCCCTCCTCGTCCCCCTCCTCGTCCCCCTCCCCCTCCTCCTCCTCCGCCTCCTCCTCCCCCTCCTCCTCCTCCTCCTCCTCCCCCTCCTCCTCCTCCTCCTACTCCTCCTCCTCCTGCTCCTCCTCCTCCTCCTCCTCCTCCTCCTCCTCCTCGAGGAACGGCTCTCCCCTCGAGGAGCGGCCCTGCCCGCCAACACAGGCCGTTCGATCTGCGTCCCAGCCCAGGAGCGGCCTGGGCTGCGGCAGGTGGCGCCAGCGAGGACGGCACGGCCGAGAGGCCACCTCCGCCACCGCGTGCCCAGCGGGTCGTGACTGCACGCCGCCAATCTGGAGGTCCCCAGATGAGCGACGATCAAAAACGGGGTCTTGCGGCAGAGGGCCCAGCGACCTGACGCCGCGGCTTCCGCGAGCCGCCAGCGAGGCACGCCACACTGGAGACGAGGGCGCTGACGCGCGAGCTTGCGCGGGCAGCTTACGCGCCAATGTCGGCGCACACGACCCTGTTTTGTTTTGCATCGTTCAGATGTCTCCTGTGGCCCCCAGGGGCAGCCAACAGCGGCCCAAACCCTGGATCCTCGGACCTCGAGGCCTCCGGGATCCCCGACCCCTCTGCTACAAAGCGGCATGCGCATTCTGAGCAGCTACATAGGACCGCAATCGCACCATCCCTGCCAGGGGGGCACGCCTCCTGCCGAGCGGAGAGAACACACACACCCGAGGAAACCACGCAGAGAGACCTCCTGGGAAGACCGCCGAGGGAGCCGAGGTCACAGGCCCTACTGCCCGACTTTCCTGCTGCCCTCCTCTGACGTTTTGGACGCACTCGGCCCGTCCTGGGCCTCTGGAGCCCTGCAAGAACATCCGGCCTCCGGCGCCTCTGGAGACAAAAGGGTATCTCCAGAAGCCCAGACCAGAGGCCAGAAGAACACATCAAATTATGCTACTCCAGTCGTACTTCAGGACCACATCGCAGAACTCAATATGAGCACCCAGAAAAGTGCCGAAACAAGGTCGAACAAGTGTCGTCTCCCAGGGCCCGAGACGCGAAAACCCTCAAGTTTCGCTACTTCCTTGGTGCTCGAAATTCTTCCTGGTGGTCATGTTAAAAAAGGCCGGAACATCATAAACAAATTGAACCTGAACTTCCGGAGGTCCGCGCGGACTTCTTGGGTCGCCGCTGGACCCCTGTGCGCTCCACCTGTCGCCCCCAGATTAGCGTCCACTGAGCTCCGCGCCATCGATGAAGGGCAACGATGGGGAGGACCAGCCCAGGGGGCGGACATCGACCTGGAATCGGCGATGCATCGCCGATGGATCGGCGACAGGTCCCCGACGGAACATTCGCACGGCCCTGAGCGCGGCGGGTCGGGCGCCTATCGGTGATCAACGAGCGGTACGCGATTGGGGCTCGATGCGTCTCCCCCGGAGCCTGTCCCCCGAACGTCGCCCCCGAGCCCAGATCTCCAGCTGAGGTGTCAGCCGAAGCGCGGCGCGCCCTCTGTGCTCCACCAGGAGCGCGACCCTGAGGTACAGGCCAGCAATCAAAACGAAGGTGGCGAGCAGCGACAGTTGGAACGTGGCAACACGGAAGAGCGAAGAAAAGAAGGGTCCCCATCCAAAGCCAGGGCTGCTCCTGATCCTCGCGCCAACTGTACACCACGCCAACCTCGCCATCGCTCGGATGGACAACCATCGGCGCGTGGCGGCTTGGGGCCCGAGGCGCCGCGCTCGAGCGGCGCCACAGACACCGACCCGACATCGCCACGGACACGGCCTGAAATCAAAACGCACAGTAATGATGTGCAGTAAGGACGGGGGAGCCCAGAATCGAATCGATACATCGGATCGGCGATCGAAGCGAATCGGATGGGCGGAAATGGGCAGCCAATTCGGGAGAACGCGAACCGGCGGAAATCGGCAGGCTAGTAAGGCCTCCATTGAAAGATCGTAATCTTAATCGGAATCCAAATCGGATCGAAATCGGAATCGATCGAAATCGACTCGACTGGAACAGGAGGAGCCGAAATGAGCCTTGAAGGATGCAGGGCCCTTCGACGGCCACGTTGACGTTCTCCGAACGGGGTTGGCCAGCCAAAGATTAAGCTTGGAACATTGCTGGTCCTTACAGTGGAGGCCAGTCCACAAGAAACCTTCCACAGGAAACCCAACCCTGAGTCCAGGACGTCCATCGAGTTTCGGTGAGGGAGCGCCACGCTTTCCACAGCAAAGCCATCGAAACCCAAGAAGCCCAGGGCACACTGGAGGCAAGCAGCGTGTTTCTTGGCATGGGCCCCCACAGTACGGTGCGCTTTGACTGTGAGCAGCATGGTGGCGAGGACTCCCCTGGCGGGCTCGACCCGCATACTCGTCTGGGCCAGTGCGACACAGGATTTCTCCAGAGAGTCTAGGAGGATGAGGAGGAGGGGGAGGAGGAGGATGAGGAGGAGGAGGAGGAGCGCCGCCACCTACCTGAGACTGGACGTTGCGTGCATGGTGGGCTCTGAGTTGTCAGGGAGCCCCACAAAGACATACGCGCCAAGCAACGTACGTGAGGCCGTCCTCACTTGCGAACGCTCGCGTGATGCGACCTCTCGAGCCCAACGTGAGTTCATGTGCGCGCACTTCTTTGTCTCGCACTTGAATGGTGGAGGGATGCGCTCTCGCTGGCCATGCGGGCCTGGCACCCAGGAGCCACCGCCAACCCAGGCGTACATGGGAGCGCCTGGAAACCGTTTGGGCACGCCCAAGGGGCGCCTGGGAAAGTCTGGGAACGCCCGCTAGTGCCCGGGAGAACCTGGGAGCGCCTTGGACTGTCTGGGCGCGCCGCCTGGGAACGTCTGGGAGCGCCTGGGAGCGTCTGGGAACGCCAACGCGTCTCGGCTGGCAATTGCATGCGTGTGCCGAGGAGGATTGCAGATCTCATGCGAGCATCGTCAGCCGCAGCCGCCAACTCCGCCAACGTCCCTTTCGACGCTGAAGGTGACGACGAATGACAAGACGACGATATGCAGAAAGGGACGAAGACAAGGAGGACAACGACGACGAAGGCGGGTGCCCTGGTGGCCTCCTTCAGAACACTCCGGGCAGCGAAGTCCTCGGCGGGCTCCCAGGGTCTGTTTTTTGTCTCTCCCTCTCTCTCTCTCTCTCTTCTGTCTGAGACATAGAGATATACACACTGCTGGCTTACTGTATGTGCTTTCTCTCTCTCTCTCTCTCCCTCTCGTCGTCGCCACGCCTCCGCCGTCGTCACCGCATTTGCTCATTATTTGTTATGTTGATGTTTGTGTTCCCTCTCTCTCTCTGCCTCTCTCTCTCTCTCTCTTCCTCCCCCGTCTTTGCTCGTTCTCTCTCTCTCTCTCTATACTTCTCCTATGTGTGTGTGTTCACGTACAGGTATGGATTTCTCTGTGAATCTCTCTCTCACTCTACATCACTATTGTGTGTGTTTTGTTGTTTGTTTCTCTCTCTCTCTCTCTCGAGCATGTACATATAATATCGTTGTTTGGCTTGTGTTCTCACTCTCTCTCTGTGTATGTATATATATATATATATACATATGGCTTCCCTATCTCTTCCCCCCGAAAATGAAGAGCTCGTGGGTTGCAGTTCTCACTTGTTTCTGCTTTGTTGTGGTCTCCTCCCCCCTCGTTCCTCACTCCCCGTGGCCCATTCCCTCTGCCTCCTCCTGCTGCTCTCTCTCATCTTTCATCCTCCCCTCCTTCGCCCCTTCTCCTCCTCCTCCTCCTCGTTCCCTATGCCTTCTTCGTCCCTCCTTCGTCCCTCCTTTAGCCCTCCTCCTTTCCTCCTTCGTCCCCTCTTCTCATCCTCTTTCCGAATGCCTCCTCCACAAATATTCAATTACGAATGCTGACTTTCATCTCTACCCGGATCCCGTCCGAGCGTGGTCCCGTTCGCCCGCAGACTGTTTCTCAGCACGTGGGATTGAACCTGGTGGCCTGCCGTATGGCTTTTCGAATCGGGGCGATTCTGTCGCTCCAAAATGAAATTCCCGCTGCAACGTTGGCCTCATTTTAGGATAGGCGCTTTTCTGCCGTCGTTCCTTATGGCGCTCTCGCCCCAGCGAGGGCCCCATCTCTGGATCTGAATCCTGCGCCGTCGTTGCCGCCTTCCCCTGGTCCTCCTGCTCCTCCGGCTCCTCTTACTCCTGCTGTTCCACCTCGCACTCATTTATCCTCATCCATCTCCTCTTGCTCATCCGCCATCTCCTCTCCCGCGTCTTTCAATGTGCTCAAATGTTATTATTGCGCATAACAAGATGGGATTATTTTGGGGATGCCAGGTCCGCTACGACACCGCCGACGGATAGAGAATACGTCCGCGCAGTGGGAAGGCATGGGTGGGAGGGGTATGATGTTAGGTATGGCACGAGCGCGCCCAACTTGCCTTTACTCCCACTCCTGTGAGGAACAACGTTACGGTTTCTGCCGGTGCAGTCCTGGAATTAGGTATCCCTAGCAATCCCAAACGGAGCCTGCACGGACCGTGACGTGACCGGGTGGGGGAGGGGGGAGGCATTCTTGGGAACGGTCGATATCGCAAATCGTAAAGAACGCGCTCCTGGAGGCCTCCGAAATTCCCTCCGACTAAAGGCTTCTCCACGGGGTTTAAGCAGTCTCGAAGCTTCCTCACTTGAGCAAGACAAGTTGGTAAGTAAGGCATTGCCCAACTGTACCCCTCCCACTCCTCCTTTCCTCTTCCTCCTCATCCTCCTTCTGCATCGGCTCGCTTTAACCTGTGTGGGTCTCCGACGCTACTTCGCATAGCGTGCAATACCGACCACGACGTCAACTTACGACCTTGTGGCACGTCCACTTCAACACGGGGGCGGCACTTCTGCGCGCCGAAGGCCAAAGACTTTGACGATACAAATTTATGCCACGAACGAGCCGACACCCTACGTCATG